CAGCCTATGACAAAAAAATCAATCATGATCATAAATTAAAAGAAATACGTGTAAGTATATTCTTACTTTTGTGCCTTCTTCTACTTGACAAATTTCTTCTCCTGTACATGGATTGAAGACAGGAAATGTTTTACCATTTGCTGCTTTATGCCATTCATTATTAATAAAAATTTGTGTATACTTGATTTCAACGCTAGAAGCTTTTGAATCACTTGACGACATCTGAAAAAAATATGCGACAAAAAAGAAACGTTGCAAAGTCAGAATCAATGTATTTCGATTCACAGACAACGAGATAGTAATGTCATTTTGATCTTACATTGATGAAAAGATATTTATATATATCGCATATATTTTGCCTTCTCGTTCTGTTTTATCAATGTGTAACTATAAACCCTTTTCTTTTTTGATTCTCTGCACCACACATTTTCTCTTTTATCAATAACAGTAGAATAAAGAAAAAAAGATATGGAAATGGTAGATTTTTTCTTCATGACGAAATAATACAACAATGTATGTCACAAAAGTATGACGACGTATAAAATTATCAGATACGCACAAACCTATTAATGACCGAATTTATGCATTGACTGGTGGTTTAGAAAAAATGGTTTTACATAAAGAAAAAAAAAACAAATCATTTTCATTGATAAATTATTTTTTATCAGATGAAAAAAATAAAGTTTTAGTCAATTTTGATTGAAACTGTTTTCACTTCATAGTATTCTTCAAGATCCTATCGTCCTAATTTACGTCCATGACCAGATTGTTTGAAACTACCAAATGGAGCTTGAAGCTGCAAAGGACTATATTGATTCACCCATACTGAACCAGCTTGCAATTGTTCAACTAGTTGTAAAGCACGCGATACTAAAATATAAATACTCTCTATGCATTAACATGTGTTTCATACATATTCAACTTACAATCTTTTGTTATGACACCAGCAGCTAGACCATAAGGTGTATCATTTGCACGTTTGATTACATCATCATATGAATCAAACTTCAATATTGACATTACTGAACCAAAAATCTAAACAAACATTTGAGTTTTTTTTTATCGAGAATAAACAAAACCTCTTCACGAGCTATTTTCATATCATTTTTCACATCAGTAAAATGCAGCAAAACAGACTTGAGCAGCATATGTAAATAATGCTTTATGAGCGGTTGTAACAGCAAGGCCCACTAACAATAAAGGAGATATTCAACAAGCTATAACCTACAAACTTCGATAAAGTGCTATTTTTATCATAGAGGTCATCCATAAAAG